AGAATGTAATTTGTGCTGCCATACTTTTAAGATAACTATCGAATATATAATATAGGTTTTTTTTTACTGGCATACATTGCCTCAAATTTATAAAATAAAAAGAGTGTAACTACCTTTAAGAAACACATTTTCACTGGCTCACTTGCCGACAACCGGGTACAATAATGCCAATTATTAGTTGCCTGTTTTGTCTAAAGAACTATGCTAGTCCTTCTAAATTTAACATTTCAACGATATACATGTCAAGTATGTCAAGTGTATTTTTCTTCGTTATTATACAGTAGTTCTGTACAAACAATCTGTACGCGATATGATCCATGTAGATTGAGTCATTAGGTAGTTTTCGCCGCGCGACATTAACCTTAACTTTTACGTTAGTACCCAACATGCAACGCGATAGCTCCGCCCCTTTCTGTAAACAAATCGAAATACGCATGCGCAAACCCGTAACTAACGTACGTCGAGCACGTAAAATCCTGAAATTTACTCCACAACGCAAGATGAATAAATTATTACGTCATCCGTTAACGTTAAGGTTAACGTCGTGCGGCGTAAACTACCAATTGCGGACTCTTGTACTGATTAGAACTGTGTAAATGATTAACTGAATATTAATGCTTATGACGGTGAAGATTTGCTTCAAAATGTACTTGAAAACAAGAGACAACGATTACATTCGGTCATACAAATTTATCAAGGCTTAAAATAATAATAATAATAATAACTTCATTTAATAAAGCGCAAAACAATATCCATTAAAAATCTTCATCGGCGCTGTACAGAATTTAAAAATATTCATAGACCAACATACACTTTAAACATATAAAAAATATACATTAAAAGCTAATAGAAATGTTTGAAACCAATAATCATCACAAAAATTACAATACCATTTAACACATCAAAAATCTACATTGAAATAAAAGAAAACGCGACATGAAATAGAACAATAAAACACTGAATTTTTTTGTATTTTGTAAAAGAAAAAGACAAGACAAGTCTACCAAACCATCAAAATTTACATCAAAAGGTTAAAAATGCCGAAAAAAAACTACAGTACATCATGTGTCTTGGAGATTTAAAATAAAAAGCAATTAAAATGCAAGGATATACAGTACATCATGTGTCTTAAATTTAAAATAAAGAGCTTTTAAAATGCAAGAATATACAGTTGTACATCAAGTTACATGAAGCTGAACTACAAGTTGAATATACCTGACCTGCAGAAAGTTAAACATTAAATCTCTTTTTAAATAAATGTGTTTTCAAATGAGACTTGAAAACATCAATGGTAGAACAAGATCTAATATAAAGGGGTAAAGTGTTGAAAAGCCGAGGACCAATACTCTCAAAAGCACGGTCTTTAAATGCTACTTTAGAATTTTTACCATCCGATCGCAGTACTTTAACAGATTTTACCTTTGCCAAAAAACTGAAATCCCGATCGAAGGTTTCGTTTTGGAGTGTGCCATTCAATTAGTTCAGATAAATATTGTGGTGCTACACCATATAGTGATTTATAAACCATTATTAGCAATTTAAATTCAATCCTTTGTGGAATCGGTAACCAATGAAGTCTAATGTATACATCAGTAATATGATCGTATTTACGTGTTCTAGTTACAAGTCTAGCAGCTGCATTCTGGACACGAATCAGTGGTTTAAGTTTATATGCTGGAAGTCCAGCAAGCAACGAATTACAGTTATCTAATCTAGACGAAATAAATGCATGAACTAGTTTTTCAGTATCAGACTGAGAAAGGGATTTCCGTATACGGCTAATACTTTTAAGATAAGAGTAGGATGACCTGCAAATATTGGAAATGTGATTGGTCATAGAAAGCTTTGAATCAATCACAACCCCAAAGGTTTCGAGCACAAGACATATCTCAATTAAATTGTCACCAATCTTAATTTCATTAATTGAACTTAAATTGTTATGAAATTGTCGAGATGACAACATTAGAAACTTATACTTGAAAGCACTAATTACATTTGTTTTAAACTAAATTTTGATAAATAAAATCGTTTCAAGGCGCTGACAGTGTTCAGACCTTGAATCATATTGAAAAAAAAAACATTAAAAACAAGTAATAAAAAATAAATAAAATTTAAAAAAATAAATAAAAGATAAAATAAACAAGCCGTTTATGCAATTAAGTTAGACGGTAGTCAAAAATGACATAGGGCCTATTATTACCATCTAAGCTGTACTTTGAAAAAGTGTAGGGGTTAAGGATGTCATCCACCAATTTTTCACTAATTAATAGCAAATATATATACAATAATAATAATAATCAATTGTATTTACCTTTAAGAAAAACATTTCATTTGCTGCTCACATCTGCCGACAACTGCCGCGGACAAATCAACGATGCCAGCAATCAGTTGTATGGTTAGTCTTCAGAACCTCGCTTTGCCTTCTGAAGTTTGCCTGTTTTTTCGAAATACTTGCCCAGATTATGAAGTAGGCGTTGTACATTCGTCATTATATAGTCAGTCAATGCAAATACGATCAATTTACAAGGGATGCAATTGGCGTAGACTGATTTCATGGAACGTGCGTGCATAATTATTAGAAATGGTAATCAATTGATGATAGTTTATGACACCTCGGTACACTCATATATGAAGTAATAAACATTAACGAGCATCAATTTTAATTACCAAATGTCAAACTTCTAATTTGTCTAACTTATACAGTATATATACTGTCTCTTATACACATCTAGATGTGTATAAGAGACAGGTATTATAGTCTGGACTAATTTTACTATTTTCCTTTATTTTGATCTGAAAAAGAATTGAATGGTCGCCATTTAGGGGTCTTGGTTGCATTCCTTGGTTGTATACACCTTGCATATGCAAACATAAAAATTGTTCAGCATAATTTTATTTGATTTTTATCAGGTATTAAGTTACCTTCGACAGCAGTTGAAAACTGTGTATGTTACTACAGAAGGAGTCGGCTATGAGTTACGTGTCCTTTGTCATGCCTGTGAACCTACGCTGCGACCGCTGCATAAACTTGAGGAATGTTTGAAAAAAGACAGTGTGCCATGTGGAAAAAAAAAGTTAGTCACAACAGCTCGTATCAGACGACTCTTTTCAACAGGTTGGTGTAAGAACTGTCTCTTATACACATCTAGATGTGTATAAGAGACAGATAACATACACCATTTGTGTTTGTTTGTTTGTTTAATTTATTTCTCCACACACATGAACATATTAACATACATAACAAAAGCTTAATAGTAAAACCAACTAAGAATAATAGTACATTACAGAATAAGTGTGTGGAAGGAGGCCAAATAAGTTTAGAATAAAACTTTAAGCCGTGGCCACCAGTTAAAAATATATAGAAATCCAAAAATATAAACACAAAATAAATATATATATATATATACACATGTGCATATACATACATATACATACACACACATACATACACATATTAACATATACATACATATATACATGTATGTACATATATGTATATATGTATATATATATATGTGTATATACATATATGTATATATTTGTGTATAAATGTATATATATATGTTAGAATAAAGGAAATATATTATTATACTAGCAAGTAAACTATGCAGTGCAATAATAAACACGATTACTATACACACACACACACACACACATAGGCCTATATATATATATATATATATATAATTATATATATACGGTATATAATAATAATAATAATTATCATCCGCTTCCTTTGTATTGAAGCCTCATTAATTTTTCAAACACATTGTCATAATAGTTTGCTGGTCACTGTTTGCTCATGAATTATTAATTATACCACCGTATTATGAATATTGTATTACCATGCTATCATAATTCTAAAAATAATACAAACGAGCCGATAAGCGTACATTTTGGGAAATTACTTGATGCACAAAAAAAAATTCTTAACTGCCAAAAAAGTACTTGCGAAATGCATTATTTTACTTGCAATGATTCAAAATTCTTTTTCACTTCAATTTCTGTTAAAATATTATTATTATTATTATTACATAGTAACAAAAAGCTCGCCCTTGACAAGTAGCAGTAGAAAGCTGATAATATAGTTAGAAAGATGATAAAAGTTCCTTAATAAGTTGCTCAAAATATAAAGTTGAGTGAATTATTCTTATTGTTAGACGGCTGTATTTGCTGTGATGCAATAGGGAAAATGGTGTGTCCCCTTAATAAGGGTTATTTAACCATTTATTAAAAGATATTATCGCCCCTCGTTTCACGGAAAAGTGTCCCCTTAATAGGAGTGTCATTTGTTCCAAAGGAGAGGTTCTACTGTAGTTGCTAAATGCATCGGGTTTAGTCGAGGGGGCGTGGCTTGTATGGTGACACGTCATGTAATTATACCGTCTACCTAAAAACACCACACATACACCGTGTGACCAATGTGACGTTACCGAGCGGGCTGAGGCTTAGTTTGTGCTGCAGCGGTGGCGCCAGGGGGGAGGGGGCGGGGGTCATCTCTCCCCGATGGGGAGAAAAAGCACAATGGTTTTTTCTACATATTAGTATACTATAAAATCGATTAAATAAGCCTTTGAAACTCCTCAATTGTCAAAATTTTCGGGGCCTTCGCCCCCAGGACCACTTCCGAAACCTTTTAATCGAAGCTCGACCACGCCCACTTTGCTTTCGTCGGGGAAATCTAACCCCTCGTCGGGGCCTCGGCCCCCTTTGTCGGGGCATCCGCCTCCTCGTTGGGGACCTGCCCCCCCCCCTCCACGTAGGGCAAATCCTGTGCTGCTACTGCTGCTACGGCCGGTGACGGCCGATCGTTAT